GAAAGAATGGTCAATAAATTACATACAAAAATCGAACATACCAGCTCTTCTGCGCACCTCGGTAACACGTTCCTCTGCTGATTTATATTTTGTCAAAATGTCACTTCGTTGGTTTTTTAAGTCAAATTCCCCACCATCTAACTGTCTCCGTGTCCAGAGGGTGTACTCGTTCCATTCCACGTGACTTCTTTGCTGTAAAATTATGAGGGCTCGTTTCGTTTTATCCACCATACCCAGAATGCAGTTCAGCATCTAAAGAATGTATGGATTGATATCTGTATTTTTAGTCGAACTTTGAAAATATTTCAGCTATAGCATGCAGTTTTAATTAACTATAGACCACTAAAGTACAACGAGATTTTAACCATTAGCATTTTCGACCATGTAATAGCCAACATACATCACTCAAACTTTTACAATATTTTGGTTTAAGGAAATATGATACTAATAGATCACACAAAATAAAAAAAAATTGATAAATCACAAAATGAGAAACACGAGCTCTTTCAGAAGACGGACCTGACTTTTTCAACACTGAATTGGAAGAAAGAAGGTCTCGAATGCTTGTATTATGGGGATTTGTTGTTTCTTTGTACGCAAGACATTATTTCAAGGTTTACAGTTTTATGCAGTCAAACAGATTTATTCATATCTTTCCGTGCTTTAAAGCTTAGTTACCACGTTGGCAACAATATACAGTATGTATCTTTACAATAATGATGAAATAATTCAAACAAATATTTGTGTGACAAACATGTAATTAACCCACACTCGACATAAATGTACTGAACTTTAAATTTTTTTGCCATCACGAATTTTCTTTACTTTATTACGTAGCCTATCAGAGAAGAAGAAAAGTAACACCTACTGTGTGAATATTTCTCCATTCATCTTCTGTATCCCTTTCTTCATATATTTCTTTTTGAAAAGCACCTAATAGGCAAAAAATAATTACCCCATAAGCAATCAGACTGTAACACTGTTGACTTCTGTGGTTGTAAATGAAACAGTAAATAGATTATTTCATAATATGACATTATTACATAGCATGACTTTGTGCTAACATGAGTTCAATTCTTCATTCTGAAATCACATTTCTTTTGTTCTAGCATTTTACAATATTTTCAAAGCGTTACTCTAAATAACAATTACCAAATACTTATGCAGTTAAGCTTAATGTTGGCTTAAGAAAAGACTTCCGAAATATTCTTGATTGAACTTAGAGATCCGACTGCAATTACTTCAGTTAATATGTCATACATTTTGAAATGTTTTAGGATAAGTTTATCAAATTAGTACATCCAATAGTGTAACGAATTTGTTTTAATTTATTTTAATATCGACGTGGTTTAGATTGAGTTTATATTTCGAAGCATGCATATGTGTGTATGTAAACGCTTTAACCAGTATAGTTACGTAAGATTGAAGTTTCTAGAAAACGTTCCCAAGCTATAAATATAACTAACACCACGCGCCAGAGAGTGTCTACTATTAGTTCGCTATAATCAGCATACTATGAACTCCGAAAGCTATAATTGTGA